ATGGGATCTATGTTAGCAGCAACAGAACATAAGATAAAAGTAACTATGTAGTTCAGCACATGGGGGACAGACTCCTGGAAATTACACAAAATGAGACGAACAACAAACCCCACGACTTGCTAACAATTCTGGAGAAAATTAATATTGTTAAAGAAAACCAAGAAAAGAGAGGTTGTCGTTTCTGAAGGATGATTTAAATCTTCTGATCAAAAGGCTATACATATTCCGAGAAAAGTTGATATAGATTGTTCAACACCAAGATATATCTTACTGAAGTTATGAAACACCAAGGATAAGGAAAAATCTCACATGGGTGTCCAGTTAGGAAACCATGTGCAGAGAGAAGAATCAGAAGACAAAGGACCAACATCTAAAATGTTCTGAAGGAAATAAAACACGACTCAAGGACTTTATATACACCAATAAAGACAACAGACAGACTGTGAGGATGGCCTTAGCCTAAACAACTCCATTTTAAATAAACCTGCAGTCTCACCAGGCACCAGCTACAATAGCCTGATAAAGACACGTAACTTTCCACAACCTGATGAGAGTCAGAGTGAAGTCACATGTCATTTGCCTTCGCCCTGATAAGAGTTAGAGGTGTAAGATCAGGGAGAAAATCACCAAATCATATGTCCTGAAATGTAAAACATCACTAAGAAAACTAGTAATAGCTCATAGGGACCCAAAGGGCAAGCAGAACTCCAAAATTTAGTATAAAGGTGGAGCAAATGAACAGACATTAGAGCTAGCTGATACTGATGCACACACACTAGAGAGCCTGATGAGGACCTGGACTGACATCCCAACTCTCTTCATCATCTACCTGATCCTCTGCACCATCTGCTCCACTCTTAAACTCTACAGCAGCCTCCTAACCCTACTGAGAAAGGTGACATCTCCTTACAACTGTCTCCTCAACTGGCTGTCAACTCCACATCAGGAGAAGCCTCCATGAGTTCCTGACCTGATCACTGTGGTCTGAGTGAGTGTGCATCTGCTGGACTTAAGGCCTAAGACTTGAAACTCTAGATCTGGCATTTGAGCTTGTTGTTCAGAGGGAACGTCTGTAATAGGTCTGTCATGATTAAGTGTATTTGCAGTGCTTAGAGTTGACTTAGAATTGTTTGCTTTGAATTGATTATGTCTATTACCGTGCCCATCATTAAAGATGGTCATTTTCTTGATTAAGAACCTATAGAGTGAAATTGTATTGAGTGATTTGAGTGAACAAAACTTTGAAAAGGGCAGAAGTGTGTGGACATTCTTTATTTCTCCCCTCAACTGCATAAGTTGTGCCTTTGCCCACCGTGGCACAGACAGTCTCAAACATGTAAAACCTCAGGAAATAAAAGACCCAGGAACTTTCTGGAAAAACATGAATAAAGTGCATCCAACCAAGAGATGTGTCAAAATAAATTCTAGAATGAAGAACCTGGGTCTCTTGGTTTCCTAGGAATGCCATAACAAATACCATAGATCAAATGTGTTAGAATAGCAGAGATTTGTTGCCCCAAGTGATGGAGGCCAGAAGAATGGAAGCAAGGTGTTCAGAGGCAGGCTCCCTTTGAAGGAGCTAGGGAAGGATCCACTCTGCCTTCTCCAGCTCCAATAGGCAGCATATTCCTTGGCTTGGGGAAACCTGACTGCTCTTCACTGTATTATCCCCAGTGTCTTTTCGCATTATCTTTCTTCTGTGCCTGTGTCTAACTTTCCCCTTTTTATAAGGATTAGTCATTTGGATTAGGGCCTACTCTTATGACCTCATTTTAACTTGGTTACCTCCATGAAGATCCTATTTCCAAATAAGGTCACATCTTGAAGATTCAACATACATTCTCTTGGTGGAGAAGGCACAATTCCATCCATAACAATGGGGTAACACAGATGTGGTCAGTACTGAGTCCACTAAAGACAGAGCAAAAACTAAACAACAGAAAGATATGGTTAGACAGCAAAATGAAATGAGGTGAACACTGCCAAAGGAATATAATAAAAAATCAAGAATAGAGTCAGGCAGTGGGCTGATAATTCCTCACCTTTCATAATAGAAAGTCAATAGACATTCATTTCAAATTGAAAATGATCTTTTTTTAAAAAAACAATTGTATATTCAGTCTTCTAATGTTTTTCTTAATTCTAGAATGATATCTTTGAGGAACTATTATATCTTGTACTGATGAAGCAACCAATTTAGTAATTCTGAGTGTTTCTTCTGCTTTTCTGATGTTAAATTCAAGTAAAATTATATTTAGTTTTTTAAAAAATCTAAAACAGTATGCAGAATACCATTCTATTTTTAAAATTGTATTTGTTCATCCATCCACTCATTCATCTAGTGAGTCTCAAATCATAGTTGATAAATGTGGGGATGATTATCTCTGGGCAGTGAGGATTTACAGTAAATGGTCTAAAAAAAAACTGATGTACTTTTCTATAAAATTTGAATTTTTTACAAGAATATGTGCTATTTTGAACAAAAACAACAAAGTCATTCTTCCACCTTTCCCCACCAAGCCCCTTCCTGCCAAAAGCTTTCTCTGTAGGCATTGGGGGTGCTGAGAGCCATGAGATCAGTCCATGTCCCAGCCAATGTGATGTTTCTGGGTCAAGGGAACTTCCTAAACCTGGGGCTTGCTTCACACTACTGTGGCAGAAAACTCCTTCGACAGCAGATGCTGCCACTTGTGTCAAGAACTTTATACAGTCATGCTCAACACCCAGAGAAGGCCAATGACCTCCAAGTTCAGCAAAATGAGTCAGACTTGCCCTCTAATTTCTGAGAGAAGCTAGCATTCACTTTATTGCAACATCAAAAAAGTCAGTGCTCACATAAACCAATCAGGAGGTTGCCTGTGTTCTGGGGCCCGCTATCAAGAGGGCTGCTCTGTGTGTCCTGAGCTCACAGCCATGTGACCAAGTCCTCCACTGTGTCCTCCAGGCCCGATTTTTCAACAGGAAAGGCATCTGTACATAATGGTTGTCATCATATTCACAAATTATTGTTCCTCCTCTTCTATCTGGTTGTCCCCCTAATGTTTGGCAGGAAATGTACCTTTTATTACTTTTCTTCCTGTGCTTTCTTGGGAAACCAGGAAACTTCCCCAGCAACAACAAAAATCAAAAAGAAAGTGGAGTCTGTGCCATAGGGGCAAGGGATCACATGTCTCCAGGGGACAGACTCAATAGACAGGTTGTCATAGTAACATAGAAGCAGAGGCAGGTGGTAAGTCTTCAGTGAATGCTGAGCCACGGGGGAACCTAGCAGGAGCCCATAAGGACAGCACCTGCCAGCGACTGAGACCCTTCTTGGAAAATATTGTCTATGTTTACTGTTTGCTTTTTCTCTTTTAAACAGAAAGATTACTATTAAACATACAAAACATCATTCATGAAAACATACAGAAAATCAATTCACTTCAAATAAAATACTACAGGTCATAGGTTCTCTGTATTGGGAATCTAAGTTCTGTAATTGTTGCAATCTGTCCGTCTCCTCTTTGCTCTCTAGATACTTCTAAGATTGGTGCTAATTACTCAAGGAGTCTGGGTTGTCTCTGAAGTCCCATCTATCTAGGCAAAGCAGAAGGGGCCATCTTACCACCCGCTGCCCTGACCTTTGGATTACCAGTGCTCTCCTTACTCACACTAACTTCTTCACACAAAATAATAAATATAGCTCTAGAGACCTCTACTTATTAAAAACATGGTTTCATTCACTCAGTGAAGGTAGATTAGAATCCCTTCTCGTCACCTCATCCTACCATCTGCCTCTTAGCTCACCACAGAGGCTGATGGCAGTCTCTGCCTTATTCAGAACCACATCGTGACTATGACTTTAGCCATCAGTTACATTTCCTGACAGAGCCTCTGTAGCCCAGAAAAGGGTGCTCCTGAACACAAGTGAGCCCATTCTGGAAGCCCCAGAGAGGAAGTTGACTGAGACTTGCAATACGTCCCTGGTTTGGTCAGAAATTAGGGCCTCAAGGGATCAAGCAGATGCTGTCTGCAGAGAGGAAGTTTGACTGCTCTCCTTGCTGGTCACATCCCCTCAAAGGACTTTCTCTCCCCAGAGAGAAAATGGAGAGATATAACTATGCTTCCCCTTTGCACCCAATGATGTCAGCCTGCAGACAATTCTATATGAAAATGAAGACTAAGAGTCCTCAGGTAGACTCAGCGTGAACTTAAGAGGAATCCCCAAAATGCTTGGATGTGTCCTGAGAACACAAATGGAGCCAACTCATTGAGCTCTGGACTTTGGAGTTTTCATACTTCCTTCCTGTATTTCTAGTAACTACTGTTTCTGACTTTTCTGGAAATCCCACCAGGCACCCTGATTCTCTTTTCCATAAGAATTAAGTCACAAAAATAGAACCATGAGAAAAGTTAGCTCAACCCCTTTGCCCTCTGAAATGTGCTGGTGGAAAGAGCCTGGGGCAAGCAGGGAAGGGCAGAGCCTTTCTAGCCATTCTTTCAGCTCAAGGAAAAACAAACTGAAACACAGAATAAAGAATATTTTAAAATAGTTATCCATAGGAAAGGGAGTTTGGAGGGAAAGAGTATATACTGGGACTACTTTAGTATTTGGGAAAGGAGTTTTTAACCTGAGATCCATGAATTGGCTTTGCTAGAATATATGTTCCTCCAGAAATTGAATTACAAGTTTTTGTGTCTGTACATTTTTCTAAGGAAAGGGTCTATATA